CACTAGATTTAATTAAGCAAGGAAAAAATTGGACCTTCGCCAGTTGAATTATGCGAAGAGCCCGGCTCACCATCATACGGCCTCGATGACTACTTGCTGAGCTTTCGTCCGTCATTCGAAAGACATAGTCGAAGTCAAATCCATTATTCATGAACAATCATAACCCGCTTTCAGTACCCAGTAAGACCAATCTACGAATCCTTTCCACCCGCCTTCTCAAACGAAATGAAAGGTATGCCAGTATCAATCGACTAAGGGATTCTTCGAAATCCAGCTTCTATTTAATTACTCTACATGCTTGTAGATAAGTGAAGTAACTCCACAAACCGGTGGCGCACCTAATAGCAGCTGTTTCCATACACAAATAAACTAGCGTACGATCTTCTAATGTTGATTTATATTTGGATTTTTTTACTATTGTCTATTATGTGTATGTAATGTTCATGTCATGAGAGGTACGAGAGTCCCAGCTAGATTTGAGGCTAATCCAGGCTTCTATTGTTCAGTGACTCTTTCTGCTTTCCTTCTTCTTAAGCCTATCCAACAGCCACAAATCATTCCAACTCAATTTTCTACACCCATTCCTAATGTTTTGTTAATTTTTATACTCATAATCCTACGCTTTGTTGTAACCAGCAAAACGTTGTCTTGGACCAGTCTATTGAGTGTCTCTAATTAGCCACAAACCTTTAAAAGTAGTTGTGCTCGCAAAGTCTCTTCTGAACAGATCTCTTCCATATAAACATTGTCACATGAACACAAAACCCTGTAGCAGCCTGAGCTAAAAAGCAGGTACGAAAATTCTCTGAACGAAGCAATTACTGAAGAAAGTGTTAATTTTTCTTCAAGCAATATTCTGATGTTCTATTTCATCATTAGGACACCCAACTTTTATTCAAATTGACAGAAAGGGAAAATTTGGAACCGATAAAAATAGTCCATCTATCTATTCCGACCAAGATAACGATCTTCCATCATCTTATTAGTGATAAATGAAATGTAATTATCTACGAAGCATAATAGGTAAGTATTTCAAAACAATATATGCCTCAATCTACCGATCTCCTGATCCCTGTAGTTTACGTCTGTTAAACGCAGACTCCTTATTATCATTAATTTCATAACTGCTGTTTTAACTCTGTAATTGAGGAAAAAATAAATAAACAAACCTGCCTGTTTGGGCTTCCTATACACGTTTCTGCCTAACTTATTATTATTATTCAC